ATGTAACGTTACAGTCATAAGACGACATAACGTAATGTTACAGTCATAGGACGACATCACGTAACGTTACAGTCATATGACGACATACGGGAACGTTAGAGGCATATGACGACAAGACGTAACGTTACTGTCATATGACGACATACAGGAATGGTGAAGTCAAATGACGTCATACTGGTATGTTACATGCTTATGACGACATACAGGGATATTAAATTCTTATGACGACATACTGGTATGTTACATTCTTATGACGACATACTGGTATGTTACATTCTTATGACGACATACTGGTATGTTACATTCTTATGACGACATACTGGTATGTTACATTCTTATGACGACATACTGGTATGTTACATTCTTATGAGGGCTCAAAGAAATGTCACAGACGGATTGTGATTTGAAACAGTTTTCACAGAGAACAATCAGTTTCGATTATCTTCCAAAACAGGATCTCTGAAAATTATTTATGACACCATGTGTTCGCGAAAAACGTCAGCATCACTAAATCATCTCATAAAACTCCCACCACGTGAAGATCCGGGTTAGAGTCTTCCGCAACCCTTATAGCAAGGAACGACTAACGGGATCGGGTAGTCAGACTCGCTAACTTGGTTAATACATGTCGACGTATCCCAATTATGTGGATCGATGCTCATGATGTCAACCCCTGGATTGTCTGGTCCAGACTCGATTATTTACCAATATATAGCGTTAACCAACAAACAAACAAACAAAATCATAACACCAGCCTTCTTTTCAGTGTCACCCAAATGTTTCCTCTACAAATTACAAACACAAAGAGAGTTGGATCAATCTTAACCATAATCGTAGGCGATGACGTGTGTGATATACGGCCTCCTTGGCAATGCAAATACAAGTACGATAATTGGCCATATCGATATTGAACACATCCCATGTCAGCACCTATCTGTAGGAGCGACAAATGACTGAAAGTCATGCAACGATTCCTGTAATTTGATAGGCGTCGGTTTGATTCCAATTATGAAAATCGTAAGTTAGAAGGGACAACATCTTTGGTTAACAATGAAATGGCGTGAGTGGGCATTCAATGCCATGATGGAACAAAACTGCTTTGTAATTTAAATCCTTGCTCTCGGTCTGACTTCGGTCACTCAAATGGAACCCATGTCCATTCATTTTAATTTATGAATAATATTAATATATTTGTCACTTAGAAACACATGCGTATTCACAGGCAGTCCCACCCCATCACCTCCCACTATTTAATCACTTACTGACCAGACAGCTAAAAGCGCTCTTAATCATATTAATGTCATATTACTATCAGTCATTGCTGGCCTATGTCTTGGATTATAGGCTTGAATTTAACACAGATGGCAATTTCTTCCGCCGTTCCTCTTCGTTAAGATCGACAATGGCCTTACGATAAAGGAAAACAAACCTAAGAGCAGCGTGGCTAAAGAAAACACGCTCGAAACCATTGTCCGAAATGGCCATGGGGAGTCATTGACCGATCTTTTGATGTCCAGCCCCTGGTCCAATGTCCAGTGAGTCCAATTGGCAGATGGACAGATCAAGACGTCGGAGCTAGGCTTAGCTAACGTGCCTAATTAATGCGAAATCTCTGATCGATTTGAGCCGGAGTCAAGTTCAAACTTTAAACCCGAAGAGGTGTTACAAGGGACATAACTCCTTCCAACTAATATTGACAGATAATTAACTCTGTGTTCTCCCGCTAATTCAATATGTCTCTGTAATTAATGCAATGGGCGGTTACATCCTCCTTCGACGTGATGCCTGCAGCTTGCTTAATTTTAGCTCCGAGCAGATGTTTTCTTTATTCGGCACAAAAAGGTTACGTAATGTTAAGAGCGCGTTGAGGTTTATGTAATCAAAAACGTGCCGCGTAGGCTGAATTCAGTGCATAAAAATTCAAACTGCCACAAACTAAATAAACGTGTGTGACGTGTGTTTGTTGTTGGTTCGAGGCTATATGTTTAGATTACAGAACGAACATTGGTTCGAGGCTACCATTGAGGGTTAGAGTAGGGGATTATTTTGATAACCGTCATAGCATCTGATTTAGTTTGTCAGACCGCACATGCGTGGTGTTTTAACAAGAATCATGGCGTCCTTTTAGGCAACAAACTCTCGACAATGATTAGTTGCGGAAACAGATAATGATGGTATCATTTGTTAACAAATAAGGGGAAATAAGGAACCTATCACCATGAGGTATGTTCGCAATAAAAGGCATGTTATTAGGTCGAGGTGCTGCCATCAAATATCGATATCATGAAATATTAAATGTCAGTGACATTTGATTAATATTCCATTGTCTGCAGTTGTGGAAAGTTCATTCAGTCGCCGGTAATTTGTTGAGAATGCGCAAGGTCATTGTGTTGCCATCGCTATTATAGGCGATGGAGTAGCACAGTGGTTAAAGTGTTAGCTCGTCACGCCAAAAGTCCTGGTTCGATTCCCCAGACGTATTTGTAAGGTACTACACTAACTCACACCTTACCATTTTCGGGTTTTGTATGTAAAACTTCTTTTTCTGCTATGTAACATCTATTTTCGATCAAATGTCAAAAATGTCCCAAAGACCATACGAGAACAGTTACAACACAACACTTCAAGAAGGACACGTGAATGTTAAATTTGGTTTACAGCTGATTGTGTCGCACCACGACGGCCTGGGTCATTACCCATGCTGGAATGTTTAGAATCTGACGAAAAACAACATTCATTCACTACTTTGTGTCTCTGCTGGTACTAGTCCGTACCACAGTTTAACATGGACACCCCACTCAGACACAATACACCCCGAGCCTACAATGCCAAACACTTCCACACCTTCACGCCAAACACTTCTTCAATCCCCAAAAGACGTTAAAAGATGGTACTTGTTGTTACCCTGTCGTTACAATGCGCTCGGCATTGAGGGCTAAAACAAGGACTGGTCGGCTCGGAGTCAGTATACTGTGTCTGAGTGGGGTATTCATGTTAAACTGCGGCATGGTATCTCAGTGTGCAAGCACTATAAACCGGCATCAGTCCGGTCTAGTACAAGCAGCCACACACACACGCACACGTGCATGCACGTCGCTATATAAGTGCAATTATCTTGGACGCGACGTTAAACCCCATTTCACCTCACCTCACTTCAAAACCTTCATGCCAAAAACTCCGATAACTCCAATTTTCATTCTTCCCATCATATATTTTATATATTCATACGATTTAAGTAAAGTATATCAGGGTTAAGTTTGAAAGGTACCATCTTCCGTACCATAGGTGTGTGTTATGTGCTTGCATTTTCACATGTATTTTATAGTTTCAGAATCCTATGACTCACCACCAAATGTCGTGGAAATCCCGAAGAACAAATATATTGTTGCTGTGGCTTCAAAATATTAAAATTCGTTTTTCTCTCATGAGCGTGCCTACAGAAAGAAATTTGCTCTTTTCTCACCAGAGATGAAATTATCATACCAGGGTAGAACTCGCCACTCAATACCACCGCCTGAGAACCGATTATATTTATTTTACCTTAGCAAAGACAAATATTAACTGCATTGCTTTTGACGCTGAAAACAATATTTTGAAGCCTTGCAGACGTTGATTGAATGAAGGTGACACGCTGTTCGCTTCCGAAGATCACTACACTTCAATATTCTGTAAGATGTCACCTTGAGTTGTTGAAGCATTACCTTGTAGTGCATGCCAAGTGCCTGAGTGTGGTTTACAGCGTACATTCGTTTCGAGGTCCGATGATAAAAAATGCCAACTGTCAGACGTGTTATTTGGAAGATCAAAGAGAAAGAAGAAGGGAAAAACAGTACATTGAAGAGTTTCGAAATAAAATCAAAGCAGGATTTCACAGTTCTTTTATGGCTGTGTTTATTTCTGGGTTTTACGTTTAACAAAAGGTCCAACAGTCACTGTGAAATTTTGTAAATTCGAATTCTTCGTGATCTTCGAATATATATCCAGTTGTGTGTATACATGTATCAAGCGACATCGTCAAACACCATATATCAAGTAAATGGAGTTCGATTTCGTTTTTCATTTTTTTATAAAAACCATGCTACTTTAATCGACTTGTGTTTATATATTTGATATTAATAGATGTACGTGAATAACGATTGCCGATTTGTCAGTTGTACTCTCAACCAAAACTTCTTTTTTTGTCTTTGTTCTATGACTAACTGACGGCTAAAAGATACTTTACCACTTTAAAAATATAATTCCAAAAACACAACTTCCAACTAAATCAATGCAAAACACGTCGTCTAAACACAAACACGTGCCGCTTGAGCAGCCGAAACTACACGTGCAATAAGGGTAAAACTACACGTGCAATAAGGGTAAAACTACACGTGCAAGAAGGGTAAAACTACACGTGCAATAAGGGTAAAACTACACGTGCAAGAAGGGTAAAAGGGATACGGACGGCATGTCAGACACTCACATTGACCACAAAACACCACAGAAAACCACGTCTGATACCCGAACAGCGGGCCCTGGGTATTATTCAGTTACAAACAGACCTGTCAGACATCAGATAGGTCAAGTGCAGGCAGACCCAGGGCAACTACGCCCAATGAAGACCGGTACATGCGTACTTTGTATCTCTAGAATCGATTCTTGACGGTGACGTCATCAGCGACGAATGCCTTATGACATTGGGTAAGTCGACAGACAGTGGCCAGGTGAGTCAGCGCTCAAGACATTAGGGCTTACATACCTTACTGAAGACAGTTATTGAGAGTGCAACACTGTCGTCAGAGATTAATATTGGCTTGGGCTGTACGTCGATGGCAGCGACGTGACTGGCCGAGGGTCGTCTTAAATGACGAAAGCGGGTTGATGGATCCAAGCTGATGGAAGACAGCGTGTTTTCCGCTGAAGGGGAAAAGGAACGGCGGCGTGTTGAGGTCGTGCCGTATGGTGGAGGTAGGAAGTTGTGGGCATCGTTAACGGAAATGTGACAGATCAGCGTTACATGGATGACATTCTTCGTCCAATTGTCCAACCATTTCTACAACAGATGTCACGTGGTGTCCTTTATCGGCACGACAACGCCAGACCCATACAGCCAGACCCATACAGCCAGAATCATACAGCCAGAATCATACAGCCAGAACCATACAGCCAGAATCATACAGCCAGAACCATACAGCCAGACCCATACAGCCAGACCCATACAGCCAGAGTCATACAGCCAGAATCATACAGCCAGACCCATACAGCCAGACCCATACAGCCAGACCCCATACAGCCAGACCCATACAGCCAGACCCCATACAGCCAGACCCATACAGCCAGACCCCATTCAGCCAGACCCCATACAGCCAGACCCCATACAGCCAGACCCATACAGCCAGACCCATACAGCCAGACCCATACAGCCAGACCCATACAGCCAGACCCATACAGCCAGACCCATACAGCCAGACCCCATACAGCCAGACCCATACAGCCAGACCCCATACAGCCAGACCCATACAGCCAGACCCCATACAGCCAGAGTCATACAGCCAGACCCATACAGCCAGACCCATACAGCCAGACCCATACAGCCAGACCCATACAGCCAGACCCATACAGCCAGACCCATACAGCCAGACCCATACAGCCAGAATCATACAGCCAGACCCATACAGCCAGACCCATACAGCCAGACCCATACAGCCAGACCCATACAGCCAGAGTCATACAGCCAGAATCATACAGCCAGACCCATACAGCCAGACCCATACAGCCAGAATCATACAGCCAGACCCATACAGCCAGACCCATACAGCCAGACCCATACAGCCAGACCCCATTCAGCCAGAATCATACAGCCAGAATCATACAGCCAGACCCATACAGCCAGACCCATACAGCCAGAATCATACAGCCAGACCCATACAGCCAGACCCATACAGCCAGAGTCATACAGCCAGACCCCATACAGCCAGACCCATACAGCCAGACCCATACAGCCAGACCCCATACAGCCAGACCCCATACAGCCAGACCCATACAGCCAGACCCCATACAGCCAGACCCATACAGCCAGACCCCATTCAGCCAGACCCCATACAGCCAGACCCCATACAGCCAGACCCATACAGCCAGACCCCATACAGCCAGAATCATACAGCCAGAATCATACAGCCAGAATCATACAGCCAGAATCATACAGCCAGAATCATACAGCCAGACCCATACAGCCAGACCCCATTCAGCCAGACCCCATACAGCCAGAATCATACAGCCAGACCCATACAGCCAGACCCCATACAGCCAGACCCATACAGCCAGACCCATACAGCCAGACCCATACAGCCAGAATCATACAGCCAGAATCATACAGCCAGAATCGTACAAAGCTTCCTTGCAGCCAACAACGTCTACGTGTTGTCGTGACCTGCACGCTCCACAGACAAGTCCACCTAGAACACCTCTGGGATGTCATGGACAGTCGTGTTTACAGCGACCACATCCTCCAGCCAACCAACAAGAACTGATTCAGGCCCCAAGAAGACTGGCGTATCCCACGTGAAATCACGAGAAGACTGACTTTTTCTGTGCGCCGGAGAAGTTTTGCGCATGAAGCATGGGGTCGTCAAACGCTCTAAATGTGACGTGTCACAGAACTTAAGCGATTTTAGATGTGTGTGCCCTTTGTACAATACGTTGAAAGCTTTTTTGCTACCCCCCTTCAATTCGGGCAACTGTCATGCCGATAGTGGATGCTGTATGACTGTCGTTTCAATGTTGATTACTTCATGCATCTATCTTTTGTATTTTTTAACAAGAGTGATTAAAAACTATGGTAAAGTTTCTTGTGAACATCAGTTAAGTATCTTCTTCCGTCCGCCCTCTTCTCCGGTGTATAATCACACAAAATAATGTCGATTAGTCACTTGGCCACAGCACCGCCAGCATTGTATCTACAAGCACTCCACCACAGGAGCCACCAACAACATCAGTAACACCGGATGAAACGTTGTCCACCTTGACCACCCATTGGTCAGTTTGTTATATTCGCTATTCGTTATTCACAAGGCAACGATGTTACGGCATATTTTGTCGCAGGGCATTTATTGTCCGTGGCGACAATTTATTTTCCATGGGCATATCACGATCACTATACGATCTAGCTTCACGAAACGTCATACACTTATTGATCACATTCAGCACTTGTGCCTGTTGCTATTAAGAGATTTCCAAAGTTGTATTTTGGAAAGTCCGTGTAAACGTGACGAACTTTGAAAATTGACGGGTATTGTCATTTCCGGAGCATGTACATGTATGTTATCTGAAACTATACAACCTAGTTATCTCTTAAAATTACTTTTAGAAAACGTTAGGCACGTGTTATGCCAGTTCTTTTTAAAGAACTATTAACCATTTCTTAGAAAGTGTAGGCCTACTTGACTTCATCAGCTTATACATCATGTAGCTTATAAGATTCAGGGTATGTACACATGCCTTTAGATTCAGAGATGTAAATTCCATTTCTATTGTTTTTAATTGGTAACAATAACAGACAATATTACAGAGTAAAATGTTGTAGAGGTAATGTATTTGTATTTAGAAATTAAGTAAGTTAAACAGTAAACTCAGGTTACTGACATGCCACAGTCGGTGGGATAGGTCATGCAACTTCCGTACAACTTTTGAGTAAAATGTGCGGGTCCTTGTTTGAACGCGTGAAACGTACGTGCATGACACTGAGCTACCTCAGTACTTATGCCGACCTTTGTACGTATTCTGAGCATTTGGAAGTGAGCGGCCCGTGACTGCCGTGTCTGTACTTACTTTTTAACATAAAGAACGATCCACACTCACGCACGCACCCATTCCCATTCTTATAGAAGTGACAATTACATAAAAAATAACCTTAAACTGAGGCCAAATGAAACGATAATGTAAATCATCTTCATAATGGTGTCCGCATTAACAATATCCTGAATCATCTAAAAACTGATTATGTCTGTGGCCTTTTAAATCACCGCTCCCTGACATATATCGTCGCCGGCTGGCTAGTCGCCAGCGACAACATATGCCGTAACAAACGATCTATGATAAAACGTGCACATTATTGTGAATTTTCCAAATAATCTAAACATGTTTAAATGTGGTGCATATCATTGTGCACATGTTGATGAGATGAATATATTGAAATTAGAAGATGTCTATCAGATTCACGTGCATGGCATATATACCACCAAGACTTACAACGATCTTGGTACAATAGTAACATAATGATGTACACACAAACCAAGGTAAGATGACGGTCACATGACAAACTGTAATTTGTGACGTCAACAATCTCCGTAGCACGGTTGGTAGCGTGACGGAATTACAAATGAAGAACTTGCAGGTTCGTACCAGCTGCCACCAAAAGTTCTTTATCCCCGAGAAACGCCAAACAAAACAAACAAGAAAGTGCCTCTTTTTGAATTTCCTTCAATGGATTTCAAGAAAGTGAATGAGTGAGTATGGTTTTTACGCCGCTTTTAGCTATATTTCAGCAATATCACAGTGGGGGCACCAGAAATGGGTTTCAGACATTGCACCATGTCGGGAATCGAACCCTGGTCTTCGGCGTGACGAGCGAACGCTTTAACCATTAGGCTACCCGACCGATTTCAAGGCAAGGGGGGAGGGTGCGTAGACCCTAAACATATTGAGCTGTAAAACACAATCCTAAACAAGTCAAAATTATTGGACAAGGAACGCGCTGCGGTTTGTGTTTAGAACCTAAACACATTCTTTACAGTGCAATAAGGGGAATCTGCGATTCCATGCATTACTAAGGGGCGCAACTCAGATAAGCAAATTGCTGCCCTTTCACAGTTAATTTAACTTGAATGAGTTTGGTCTAACGCCGTTTAGAACAGTATTTCTGTTATGTGACAGCATTGCAATGTTATGTGGGAGAAAAGCCAGACAGAAACTTATTTGAATGTGAATTAGACATGGTGTAGGTTATATTTCAACATTGTTCAGGCTATATATTCCAGTGCTTCGCCATATTTCCGAGCACCTATATATGCCTTAAGGAGTTGTTTCATGCATGCTTTCCCTAACCGTTTCTGCTTCATTCGAGACAGAAGCCATTAATTATTCATACATGACTCTGCCTAGACGATAGTTAGTTGCAAATTTTGACAAGAAAATGAGTTTGTAAACAGGGTGTCAAAAACAGTTCTGTAAACAGTTAAAAACATGAATATCATATGACATCTCCTGCTGTGTTTGTTCCCTTTTTAGTACATGTGAAATGGACCCGTGAAGATCCGAGGTCTTCGGCAACCAATGCTTACTGTAAAAGGTGACTATCCTTGTCGAAAGAGGCGACTGTCGTTTCGTTTGTTTGTTGTTTAAAGCCGCACTCAGCAATGTTCCAGCTATATGATGGCGGTCTGTAAATAATCGAGTCTGGACCAGATAATCCAGTGGTTGACATCATGAGCATCGATTCACGCAATTGGGATACGATGACGGTATCAGGTGATCAGGCTCGCTGAATGGTTGATGCATGTCATCGTATCCCAATTGCGTGAATCGATGCCCATGATGTCAATCACTGGATTCTCTGGTCCAGACTCGATTATATACAGACCACCGTTATATAGCTTGAATGTTGCTGAAAGCGGCGTTAAACAATAAACAAACAAACATGTGAAATGAATATTTCTTATTTATATGATACCTATGAATAACATGAATACACACATTCTGTAAAAAACTAACATAACAAGACCTAACATATGATGAGTTGATTGGTTCCTACAAAATTTGTAAGGATTCAAATTATGAAAAATAGCTAACGACGAACTTACGACAAACAAAGGTAAATGTCTGGGGCCATAATAAATTAATCATTTTATTTCCGCCTACCTCACTACCAAACACCCCTGTTCATTACTTTCGTTATTAATCAAATGCAACATAAATCTAACAATAAATATGAAAACGTGACATTTAACGGTATCGGTGTCGGGTGAGAGGAATGTCTGTTGCATGTGAAACCATGTCAGTTTAGTGCTATGAGTGTACACTGTTGGCTCTAAATGTATCAACCAGCCACAGGGCAACGTTTCTCAAAGTGACCGTAGCGCTAAAACCATCGTGTTAGAGTATCGGGAATTACAATAGCCTACGAATAGCTTTGTGCAGCTGGTAGAAGTTGTAGCAGGTTGTTAACTAACCGATACAACTTAAAAAATATCATACCAGTATATGACAAACGATGATTCAGGTGTGTCAGAAACATGATCGTTATCTAAATTGTTTTTATTATACAAAAAATACTCCCTTTATCAGACACCAAATTGCAATATGTAATTGGAAACGATTAAAAAATAAATACCTCCGCATATGAGTCAGTCATTGATCCCGTGACTGCAGGTGCTCGCTGAATAGGCTATCGAATCATGTTTTTCAAAAGATGAAGCGACAATAGAGATACTGTGGAACCCCGTTAATCCAGATTGTACCGTTTCAAGTGATATCGTCCGGATTATCGCATTACCGAGTCAATGATGATAGCTATACATGGTAAAGTGCCTTTTTAATACAGTAAATCTGATCCGAACCGAACCTCCTTAATCCGGAAACCCACATTCCAGGCTAGGGATATCTCTATAATATTAATGTGACATTAGTACATGGTCATGATTTGTTCATCCAAAAAATTGCGTATCTGCGAGATCGCACTGGATATTGTACTGTCCGGATTAACGAGGGTTCAAGTCATGCACGGATACAGCGATAAGCGTCCGGAATGCGGAGTGTCTGGATCAACGAAAGTTTCATTGCAAGTACAAGTATATGTTTTTTTCTAGAAATATATGTCCGGGTTAAGTGATGTCTTGACTAACGAGTTGTTATGTAAACATATAGTTACACAAGAACTTTGGTTAATCCAGACTAATAATATTGTTTTTTGGTAAAACAATAAAAAGACAGATAACCTATTTCTGCAAGTTGAATTAGCTTATCTACGGCTTGAATTGAAATGCTGGGCGAGCGTCAGGCTGGACCTGCAGAGTAGACGTCATAAATCCACATATGCCATCAAACGTTAATTATATTTTGTCGTATATCAATCACAAAGACAATGGGACGTCTTACATACCTCATTATATGCTATAGACAATATTACAGCACCATGGTGTACCTATATCCCCGATGCTAATTAAAGGCTCACATACATACACAAGCCCACAGCAGCTAGCCCAGCAGTTATGACATTTCTTTGAAATAAACATGTTATGTACACCATCTGTCACATCAAAACGCCCATGTTAATTGCAAGATATGTTGAAATCGATGACACATACCAGCGCAAGTCTAGCAGCGATTACACCATTCCCCTAAAGCAGGAAGCAGTGATGATTAGGGACCGGAATGGTCCCAGTCAAATGTCAAGCCTTCAGAGTTGTCTTTCTTCAACCCTAAAGGGCCAATATGTCCAAATGTCACCTTTGTCGCAGCGATACCGCGGTCCTCT